GCCCTCCGCCCTGCCCCGAAGGCGAGGCCAGCCCCGTCACCGAGCGGGTGCCCGGGGCTAGTGGCTGGCAGGAGGGTCCCGGCAGGAGCTGAGCACGGGGCTGGGGAGGGGGATCTGCAGAGGCTCTGAGGAAAGACCTGCTGTGCAGTTCTGACTCAGGTGCTTTCCAGGTTATTAAAAACAAGGCTATTCCCATTCAAAGATTAGTCAGTTATTTTGAAGATGAGAAGGAAAATCAGCAACGGTCTTGAGGGCTGCTTTGACCCATGAACTCAAAACCTCTCCTGCCGACACCAAGAACGTGGGGCTGCTCGTTTCTGTGATGCTTTGCTTTTAATGCGGTTCTTCGGGTGGTCAGCAATGCCCGACAGCGCTCGTACGTGGTTATCGCCAGGTGCCCCTCGGGGGCTGCATGGCTGCACGACGGGGCTGCGTGCCGGGCAGGGGCCGGGACCGCGGGCTGCGTGCGGGGCAGGGGCAGGGCCTGCTGGGCCCCCCTGCCTCTGGCTGGGAAGACAGCTCTGCCCCGCTTTCCCTGCCAGACAGCGACTCGCTCCGCGGGCCCCTCGCAGCAGAGCTGGCGGCAGCAAAGGCAGCGTGCAGACACGAAGCCTGCAGCCTCGAGGATGCCAGCCGGCGTTTCATGGAGGATGAGGGGAGAGCACTGACAGTTCAGGGATCTTGGGCAGCATCTGCACTGCAAGCGGCAGAGCGGGCACCGTGTGGGCACACTGCCGGGCTGTCCCTGCACCAGCTCCTCCCGTGGTACCTGGCAGTGCCCGCACCCGCACAGCAGCTCGGGTGCCAGCACGAGCACCGCGGGGTGTCTGCACCGCTCACAATCTGAGCGTTCAACAGAACTGTCATTTCTCCTCAGCCTGTTTAATTTTCCCCTAAATTGCCAATCATTTCTCCCAAGCCTCTGAACCGCCTCACCCACACGACCAGCCCCGTGGTGTCTTTTCCCCAAGGCTGCCTCCTTCCTTATTTTTGGTCCTATTGCTTTTGATTTTTGTTCCTTTACATGAAACACAGACTGTGGCTTTGTGTGGGATGTGCTGTGCTTCATCTCAGGACTCCTAAATTCGGTGGATGTCAGATCTGACTCACAAGTGGATAGCAGAGTGACGGGACAGCAGCCAGTGTCCCAAAGAGGGGAGAATGAAGCCAAGCTGAGGCGAAGCCAGGGAGGGGATCTGCTGCTGGAGCCGTCCTCCCCTGGCCGTTGGTACATCTGGCCATCGGCAGAGGAGCGGCCGTCGCAGAGAGAGAGCCTCTCCCCGCTGCCGGGCACCCAGCACCCCCGCCCCGTGCCCGTATTCCGTCTGCGTGCGCCGGGTGCCGTGAGTCAGGCACGCCACCGTGCCGTGCCCGAGGTCCTGCCGCTGCGTGGCACCGGGGGACGGCTGTGCTGCACCGCTGGACCCCCTCTGCAGCTGGCCGATCTGCTGGTGCTCCGGCAATGCTGCGGGTTCATGGAAGCCCGTGGGCTTTCTGAGGACGGATGAGTCAGTGCACAAACTCTGTTCAGAGTGGTGGGAAAAAGCAGAACTCTCCCACTCTGAGCATTTAAGATGGCTCTTTGAGGAGCCGTTCTGCTGTGGCAAAGGGCCCTGAGGTCCTGTACCTCTGTGCCTGCCGAGCCAGGGACTGCTCTGAAGCTTTCTGAGGCTGCCTAGAGTACTATCAGTTTCTCTCGCTCTTTTTATCTGTGTCCTTTCCACAAATTCCCCAGTGGGAAATCCCTTTTCTCAAGACTCATCGCTCTCCATCGCATGAGGGGCCCTGGGCTTGCAAAGCCCCCAGGAAAGCCCTCAAGCAAGTTCTGTTGTAATTCAGCCTGCCAGAAGGCAAAGCAGAGGACTCCCAGTCCGCTCGGTGGTAATTCAGATCCTAGCGCCTGAGGCCAGCGTCACCAGACAGGTAGGACATCGCCATGGGGCTGGAGCCCCACAGCCACATGCGTGGTGGCTGTGCTGGGGCCCCAGGTCTGGCTGACAGCTGCTAGAGCCCCGGGGACAGCTTGCAGCCCCTCTGCCGCACCCGACTGCAGAGCCTGCCATGCCACCCACGTGAGTAGGTGGTTGCAGGACACAAAATAGCCCAAAGCTTGTCACTTGGCCCCAGAAATGGGGAGTGGCGAACTGCAAACTGGAGCAGGACGGGACAGGCTGAGCCCAAAGGAAGGGAAAGCAAGAACCTCCCCTGCCAGTGCTCCAGGGCTCCCCAGGGCTGGCTAGGACCTGGCCAGCTTTAGCAGCTGGCAGGACAGTGCGTTAGCCCAAGGGAACACGGCTGGGCATGTGCTGTGGTCACCAAAATCCCCGTGACAGGGCATCCTGGCTGCTAACACTTGCCCCGTGCCATGCTTTTAACATCTCATTTAATAATGAAGCAGCAAAGGCAGACACGTGAATTACTCCTATTTCCCCTTTCTCAGCGATGTACCATTTTGTTCAGAAAAGCCCCCAGAGCTCTTCCTTTCAGGCTGCTTGTAGGAAATGCCCAGCCTGGGCTGAGAGATTAGCTGTGGGTGAGTGGGTGGACAGTAAAGAAAAGTGGAAGTCGCGACACAGCTACTTTCCTCCCACTGCGCTAACGCCTCCGAGACGTCACTGAGCCAGCCCCAGGGGAAAAACAAGCTTTCAGCAGCCCGCCAGAGCAGAGCTCGGCACCCGGCTCGCCCAGCCTGCGCCCCGCCGA